AGAGAGAGAGAGAGAGAGAGAGAGAGAGAGAGAGAGAGAGGGACAGAGGGAGGGAGAGGTGGGAGAGGGAGAGGAGAGAATTGTTCCCAATTAGAACTCTGTAGAGCCTTTCTTTGAGCCTAATTTAAATCAAACCATTAAAACCTGCTGCCTTGTCCTCTTAACCTGGGAGCCACGGATGCATTTCAGGTGATCTGGATTTTCCCAACTTTCTCAAGGGGATTATTTTTAACCGACAGAGGGTCCCCAGCTTCCTCCAGATTCTCCAAGGGATCTACGCCCCACAAAAAGATAAGAAATCCTAATGAAAGTGCCCAAGAGTTCTTCCCCCTCTCCTTCCTTTTTTTCTGAATCTTTTTGAATACGTGCACGGTTACAAAAATTAGTGCAAACAGTATGCAAAGAAAAGTTAAAATTCCTTCCTATTCATTACCTGGGTCCTCCTTTTCAAAAGCAACCTTTGTCCAAAGTTTAGGTAGCTTTCAAGGGCAGGATTTCTCAACCCCACACACACTCGCTGACATTTTGGCCTAGATAATTTTTTGTGCGTGCTGTCCTGTTGTGCACTGCAGGATGTTCACGAGCATCTCTGGCCTCTACCCACTAGATGCCCAGTAACATGCACACATACACACCCCGATGAGATACCCAAAAATCTCTGCAGACATTGCCAAATCTGGGGGAACAAAATCGCCCCGACTGAGAAGCGCTGCTTCCAGAAAGACCCTATGCACGCACAAACATCGGTGTTTGTGCGTCTACTCATTTTCTCGGGCAACTAGAGGCACACAGTTACTCTCCAAATCACTGCAGGGGTTTGTCCTGAGGGCAGGGGCGGGCGCGGGCCTCGGCGAGAGGCGACGGCCACTCACCAGGTCGCGGATGAGCTGGTCCACCAGCTGCTCCCCGCCCCCGGCGCCCTCACGGGCCCGAGGAAAACGGGAACGGCTCGCCACGTCCTGCACCTCGGCCCGAGTCGCCCGCGCCGCCGGAGGCCTCCCTGCGCCCTCCAGGAGACCCTGGGCCAGCGCCGGGTCCCCCGAGGCCTGTTCGCTGCGCCCGTGGACCACCTCCGGCCGTCGCGCCCGCCTCTCGGCAGCCTCGGGCCGCCGCCACTTCCTCGGCGCCTGGGCCTGCGCCAGCTCCTCCTGCCAGCGCCGACGGAACTCCTCTAGGCTGCAGTCGTCCATCGTCGCCGCTCCCGGCGCTCCACGTTCTCTTCGGCTCCGCTGGGTGCCACGGGACAGTCCCTCCACGGGAAGTGTCCGCTACGGCCGGAAACCGCCGCCGCAGTCGCTCTAGGGTTCCGGGTGGGCGGCCACGCCCCCGCCACGCCCCCCGGTCTGCACCTGGGTGCACTTGCTCAGGCTACTGACTTGTAGCGCCCAAGACGGAGGTCTACGCACCTGCTCTTCAGCCCATCAGCTCTCCTGCCTATCACTTATGCTAAGCTCTGACTTCGCGCCAAGCATTGTTCCTTCATTCAACAAACATGCATCGAGCGACTACTATATGCCAGGCACCGAGAATTCAGCATTTAAACAAAACAAAAAACCCTGACGTCATTTAAGTGGGAAGGAAGACTTTAAACAAATAAATGCGAACATTTGAATCAGTGATAGGTATTAGGAAGAAAAAAAATAAGGTAAGGCAAGGGGCGGGAGTAAGGATTGACAGTGCAAATCTCTTTAAGATGTTATTTAAATTAAAATCTGAAAGAGAATCAACAGGTGGGAAAAGAAATTGTGGTATATACATATGATGGAATACTACTCAGCCATAAAAAATGAATTAATTGCATTTGTAGCAACCTGGATGGGACTGGAGACTATCATTCTAAGTGAAGTAACTCAGGAATGGAAAACCAACCATCATATGTTCTCACCCGTAAGTGGGAGCTAAGCTAGGAGAATGCAAAGGCATAAGAATGACTTTATTTTTATGTGACTATACACACACACACACACACACTCCTCCCCTCGCTGCCCCCTCCCATCCCCAAAGTCCATGTAATCCCAGCACTTTGGGAGGCCGAAGACGGCGGATCATGAGGTCAAGAGATCGAGACCATCTTGGCCAACATGGTGAAATCCTGTCTCTACTAAAAATACAAAAATTAGCTTGCCATGGTGGTATACACCTGTAAACCCAGCTACTCAGGAAGCTGAGGCAAGAGAATTGCCAGAACCTGGGAGGCAGAGGTTGCAGTAAGCCAATATCGTGCCACTGCATTCCAGCCTGGGTGACAGAGTGACACTCTACCTCAAAAAAAAAAAAAAAAAGGAAAAGGAAACAGAAATGGAAATGGAAATGGAAAAGCAAGCAAGCAAGAAAGAAAGAGAAAGAAAGACAAAGACAAGAGACAGAGGGAAGGAAGGAGGGAGGGAGGGGAAAGAGGGAGGAAAGGAAGGAAGGAAAGAGAGAGAGAAAAAGAAAAACAAAGAGAGAGAGAGAAAAAAAAAAAAAAACAAACAAAAAGAAACAGACCCTATCTAGAATGCTAGCTCCATGAGAATAGAGGCCTGATCTATTTTATTCACTATGTTTTCAGCACCTCAAACGGTGCCTGGGACATAGTAGCTGCTCAATAAATGATGAATGAACAAATGAACTACTGTAAAGCTATTAAATGTTACATTGGAGAAGAAAATTTTATCACACGAAGAGAATTTCACAATATAGCAAGTGAAAAAAGTCAGGCTATATTACCATATATACATTATAACCTGTGTTGCATCTTTTTTTTCAAGTGTGTATGTGCATTCTAAAAGGAAGAAGATACACCCAAACCTGCATGGAAGAAATTCCTAGAGAAGGCAAGACTATGGGTGATTTTCACTTTCTTTTTCTTTATCTCCATATTCTAATTTTCTTTTCCTTTCTTTTCTCTTCCTTTCATTTGAGACGGGGTCTCACACTATCACCCAGGCTGGAGTGCTGCCTCAACTTACTGCAACCTCCACCTTCCAGACTCAATTAATCCTCCTGCCTCAGCCTCCTGAGTAGGTGGGACTACAGCATGTGCTACCACGCCCAACTTATTTATTTATTTATTTATTTAGTAGAGAGGGTTTAGCCATGGTGTCCAGGCTGGTCTCAAACTCCTGTGTTCAAGCAATCTGCCTACCTCAGCCTCCTAAAATGCTGGGATTACAGGTGTGAACCACCATGCCCAACCGTATAGTCTAATTTTCTACAGTGACTGTTGTCCTAGCCCAGGTTCCTGCAGTAAGCAAGTCTGAGCCCTGGGTTTGTAGGCAGCTAGTTTATTTAGGGCAGTGATTCCAGAAAAGAGGCCTGGGAGACTAAGAAGAATGAGACAGGGAAGAACGGACAGTTAATTGAAAGAGCATTTTTGAGCCAGGCACGGTGGCTGCCGCCTGTAATCCCAGCACTTTGGGAGGCTGAGGTAGGCAGATCACTTCAGCTCAGGAGTTCAAGACCAGCCTGACCAACATGGTGAAACCCCGTTTCTACTAAAACTACAAAATTAGTGGGATGTGGTGGCAGGCGCCTATAATTCCAGCTACTCGAGAGGCTGAGGTAGGAAAATCACTTGAACCTGGGAGGCGGAGGTTGCAGTGAGCCAAAATAGCACCACTGCACTCCAGCCTGGGTGACACAGCAAGACTCCATCTCAAAAAAAAAAGAGCATCTTTGAGTTGGTCCTACTGTAGCAATTTAGGCTCATCCCACTAGCACCTTCTAAGGAGACTTAGAACAGAGCTCAGAACTGTCCTCCCAGAAGTAAGAGCCGGAAGAGGGAAGCATTTGTCCAGTGACTCATCCCCTACTGGAGAAATGCCAGGTCAGGAGTCTTAACAACCTCCCACTTCTAGATTGGGTATAAGTAAATGGATTCTCATGGATGGTCCATACCAAGGCAGTAGAGATGCTCTAGGACAAAAAGCAGGAGGTACCCAGTGCAACTAACAGGAAGCACTGTCAGGTTACATGTGTGCAAAGCCAGTTGCTACAGCAGTGACCAAGGTAAAAGATGATCAAGTGATGCAAGATGAAACATAAGCATCCAATACAAATAAGCATTCCCTTTTTTTTCTGTAAAGATTTTCTTTTTCTTTTTCTTTTTCTTTTTGAGACTGAGTCTCACTCTGTCACCAGGCTGGAGTGCAGTGGCGTGATCTCGGCTCACTGCAACCTCCGCCTCCCAGGTTCAAGCGATTCTCCTGCCTCAGCCTCCAGAGTAGCTGGGACTACAGGCACACACCACCATGCCTGGCTAATTTCTGTATTTTTAGTAGAGACGGGGTTTCACCATGTTGGCCAGGAGGGTCTCATCCCTTGACCTCATGATCCACCCACCTTGGCCCCACAAAGTGCTGGGATTACAGGTGTGAGTCACCGCACCCGGTCTGTAAAGGTTTTCTTATACACAGAAGGGGAAGAAGTCTCAGTCCTTCTTGGCACCACTCACTTCCTAGAGGTGAAGACATTGCTCAGCTCCTCTCACTTCCTCTTGGTGCAGACATGTGTCCCTGCCCTCTTGATGAACTTGAGAGTCCACTTTTTCTCGGAGACCTTGAACAATTCCGAGGTGCATCACTTACATGGAGTAAAGCCACACACCTCTCACATCATGTCCCACACGAACTTTCTGTGCTCGGTGGGTGCCTGTAGTGGCAGCGGCAGCCGCGCCTGGGTATCCCCACATTCTTGGTCCTCATCTTGTGACCCTCATTGGGACCCACAGACATGGGAGACCACAGAGCCGTGGCTGCTGCTCGTCAATGGCTGCTGCCAATAAGTATTATTTGTATAAAAACAATGAGCTAATTTTTCCTATTCTGCTAACATCTCATTCACCCTGTGTGCCTTCCATGTGAAATCCAAGGTCAGTCAAACTTGCTTTGATTATCTACTTGCAAGTCAAAAACCAAATATCACTTTTCTGATATCTTCTCTTCTGAAATCTTCAGATTTTATGGACCATCTAACACTTAAAACAGAAAGCAAACTGGGGCCAAGCGCGGTAGCTCATGCCTGTAATTCCGGCGCTTTGGGAGGCCAAGGTGGGTGGATCACCTGAGGTCAGGAGTTGGAGACCAGCCTAGCCAACATGGTGAAACCCCATCTCTACTAAAAATACGAAAAACTAGCTAGGCATGGTGGTGGGTGCCTGTAATCTCAGCTACTTGGGAGGCTGAGGCAGGAGAATCGCTTGAACCTGGGAGGTGGAGGTTGCAGTGAGCCGAGATCACGCCACTGCACTCCAGCCTGGGTAACAGAGTGAGACTCTGTCTGGAAAAAAAAAAAAAAAAAAAAAAAAGAAAAGAAAAGAAAAGAAAGCAAGCAATCAAACTGAAATTTAAAAAATAAATAAATGAGTCTCGCTCTGTCACCCAGGCTGGAGTGCAGTGGCAGGATCATAGCTCACTACAGCCTCGAACTCCTGGGCTCAAATGATCCTCCTGCCGCAGCCTCCCAAGTAGCTGGGACTATAGGAGCATGCCACTATCTCAGGCTAACTTTTAACTTTTTATTAGAGATAAAGTCTTGCTATGTTGCCCAAGCTGGTCTTGAACTCCTGGCCTCAAGTGATCCTCCCACCTGAGGGGATTACAGGCATAAGCCCCCAATCCTGGCCTCAAACTGGAAAATTTTAAACACCCAATTATGCTGGTCAAGATCAATGTTTCCTGTTGCCCCTTTAAAATAATTTTTACAGGGGCAGTGCAGGCAGGCTAATGGGGCCATTAGTCACCCAGAGAAAATGAAAACCAGAGAGAGAAGCATGCTAAGAGGAAGGAAAATATTGTCTTTTTTTCAGTATTGTCTACCACTCATTGATGATATTTATGTTGATTTTATATCTTTCCAGTAGTAAATTCCTGGACCTCCATTTCCTCAAGTGAAAAGTAAAGATAAAAATATCTTTCTTTCAGTATAACTGTAAGGCTGATAAAATACCTATAAAACTCTTAGCATCCATAAAACATCATGTAGGCATTTAATAAATGATGTCTATGATCCATATTAATACAGTCTTGGCAGACAGAGATTGCATCTAACCTGTGCTCTATAAATTTAGTATTCCATGGGACCCCACCTTTTACCACATTGAGGGTATATTTTGCAACCTCAATCTGTTAAATTCTTTGTTTGCAAGCAACAGACGCCAATTCTTGCTACCTTAAGAAAAAAGGAATTGAACTCAGAGGTTGGCTCACTAAGTTAAACAAAAAGAAGAATAACCAGACCGTTGGAATGCCAAGAACCAGATCAGATTCAGGGATTTCATCATGGGAACTCCTGAACCAT